AACGACTTGCCCAGGTAAACACTGACAGGCGGTCAGGTAGCGCTCGGAGCCGGAGAACAGCAGGCACAGAAAGTTCACGTCAACTAGTTTGCTTTTCCGCAGTGCCGTGATCTCATCGTGGGCTGCCCGGTGAAGGTCAGGGTGTTTTTAAATGTCCCCGCGAAGCCGTGTCCTGTTGATCGCCCTGTCGCGACGGAGTTGGCGCATTTTGTGCTCGGCTAAAAAAAAAAGCGAATCCCTGCTCTGGTTCCGGGGAGCCTAGAGTTGGGTTGTGAACTTGACTGCCCGTCGCTCGTCTTTCACGTCTTGAGCGGCACGTCCCGGGGGGATCTGCGGTGGCTCCGTCACAGGATGTGGTTGCTGTGTCTTGGTGGGTGACCCCGGTACCCCCTTGTGTTCGGCAGGGACCACCCGGCGGTGATCAAGAGGCGCTTCACCAGCGTGCTGGTGGTGTCCGTGCTCTCGCCCCTGTTCGTGTGGGCATGGCGGGAGCTCATGGGCGTGCGGGTGAGCATGGCAGACCTTCCCATCTCTGTGCTTTGTGGGGTGGGGGGGTGGCTTCGGGTGGAGAAGGGAACAGGACCCCTTTTTATCTGCTTGAGTTTCGTGGTGTGAGCCAGATCCCACGGCTGACACCAGTACGCGGGGGACTCCATTCCTGCCTTAAGTCCCAGAGGGGACCCCGGTATTACAGGGGACCTCAGGTATGTTTTTCCTACTGCAGGGGACTCCATTCCTGCCTTCAGCCCCACAGGGGACCCCGGTACTACAGGGGACCCCACTCATGGGACGTCCCGGCTTGTCCTTCTTCTGGGCTCGACCTGACGGGGTCACACTCTGGCGGCTGCCCTGCTTGTCAGACTAGAACCCCGCTGAACCTCTGGGGGGATGGGGTACCTAGGGGCCCCCGAGACCAGACACCCAGGCTCGGAAGGAGCGGGACCCCGTCCTGCCCCGTGGCTTTCGGGGTGCTGGGTTCGAGCTGCAGGACGGCTGGCTGACTCCCTGTCTGTGTCCCGCAGCCCAGCCCTCCCCTGCTGGCTCTGATGGGCATCCGCCTGGAGGGGCTCATTCCGGCTGCCACCCTGCCTCTGCTCCTCACCATGGTAAGACCTCCCGGATCGCGCCGCACGGGGCTGTCGCCTCATTCAAGAACCGGGTGCTGTTTTTGACAGAGCACACATCCCCTCTCTCCTCCTCCTCCTCCTCACTCCTCCTCTGTCCTCTGTCCTTTCCTCTCTCTCTCTTTCTCTCCCACCCCCAGGTGCTGTTTCTGGGGCCCCTGATCCAGATGGCCATGGACTGTCCCTGGGACTTCATCGACGGGTTGAAGGTGGGGATCGGTGAGTCTGCATCCT